TATTTCTTTAACGTCTATTATAACTCTCCTGTAGTTAGCAATAAGAATACGGTTATTTAATTTACTTCTTTAAACATCTTAAATCTGTATTCGTGCTGGTACGTACGAATTGCATGTGTTTGTCATCAGTCACCGTTTTTACCTATACCTACTGAGTAAATCAATGTCTTTTGCACTTCATTATATCAATACTAATGAAGAATGACACGGTTGAGTAAATTCAAAGATTTTAGATAAACAAAATAAATTACTGTAGTTATAAACTACGGCTCACATCAGATTGTTTAGATACTTCGAAGCGATGTTGTTTAACAAAATCCAGCTGCTTGTTACGATGAATATAAACATTCGACCAGAAAAGAAGAGAAGACGTAATGTAACATGTTCATAACGTGTTCGTGTAACGATAACACATTAGTGACATGAAAAAAAGTTTTCGTTAAACATAGTTTACTTTTATAAAAATGTTGCCTCTAAATAAACAAAAAATTTCGCAAAGGTAATAAATGAAAATCTTGCAACCGCTTGTCGAAATCTGGCACATAATTATTAGCATCTGTGACGTTCGATTCTCATGGCAGTAAAACTATGGGTGATAATCTTAACAAATTTCATTGAATTGTGTTTAGAGAATAAACGTTTACGAATGGTAAAAAATACATATATGTATAAATTAGAGTATAAAGGCAAACGTTCGATAAATTCCTCTTCTTTATAGTTTTAAAAAAAATAAACTTTCTCAAAGTATTAATGTGCTTGTACCTGTGTGTTAAGAGCATAAAGTCTGTCTGTCTGTATCAATTCTAAATCCATACCAATTATTATTTATATCTGTATGAGATGTCTTTAATTCAGTATATTCCAGCTATTTCATTACCATACCATACCCATAACATAACGACTTGAAGACGACATATACAAACTATCTAGTTCGTGTCCGCAAGTTTAGTTCAAAATTTTCGAGCAACCTGAGTTCAAAACATGGCGACGGCAGAAATGAAATTGTCAATTTGAAATTTTTAGTTCTGAGTTGCTGACGCATCATGTGCTTGATAGTGTTAGAAAACATCGATTTTCGATATAATAATAAAAAAATATTTCTAATTTATATGAAGTCTTGGTTGGGTCGGCAAGTGGACTTTGCCCTAATATCCTCGGTACAAAGAAAAGCCTTTGCCTCACTGTGAGGTATATGTAGAGTTAGAGTTTCAAAATCTTTATTCTTACGAGCTCATAATGTACTGGATTTTTATTTAACACGAAACGTAAAAATTATTTTACATCTCGCAAATCCTCACTCACTCATAATCTAGAACAAAGCTTCTAGTAAAGAGTTTGAATTTTTCTAGGGATTTTTACTTTTTTATAGAAAGCCTTGACAGTAAGCTGGCGGTTAACCGATGGCAATTTGTACCAAATAAGTCGCCGAGGTTGCGGCGTACTGAGTCGGCGTTTTCAGGCGGAAAACACGCCTAAATGCTGCCTCAAGATATTTTGAACTTTGCCCTACTAACGTATTATTTCAAGTAATGTAAGCAGGAGAAACTTCGTAAGTGAACGTTTAATGGCTATTAATAGATTATAATGATTTGTCAGAAATTATTTAATCTGTGAGAACATAGAGTATGTATGGGTGGAGTAAAACAAACAGATAAATCCTATTATAAGGAGTTTATTTAGATGTTTCGTAATGTTATTTCTATAATTTAATTTATGTTTTTTGTGTGTGCCAAAGTTCGTTTGTTGTTATTTAAAGGTTTAAAAGCCATTTTTATTTAATTGTCTTACATCATTTTGATCTATCTATATATTTTTTTAATTCGTAGGATGTTCGAATCTTACTCCCATATTATCGTCGTGCAATAAAAATCAGCTACACTTTCTTAATAAATTATTTTTTATTCTTGAAACGTACATACATTTACAGCATTTTTATACACATAAATAGTACGAAAAGCAGTTAAGTAACATATAATATTACTGTAATATGCATCTAAAACACTGTAAAAGAACTTGGCTGCAAAAAACATTTTTACCTTAGATACTTATTTTGACACATGTAGGTAATATGAAAATATGTTACTTTGCATACATATAAGGAAAATCAATAAAGTGTCTTAATATTTTATACCAAGGGACTAATAACTGAAACCTGTTCGATTTCGTTACTCCAAACCCAAACTCTCTTCACAAGTATATGATGTGAAATGGAGTCTGCAAAGTTTCAGATACATACCTGAGGCTGCAACTTAACCATAGTGAATTTTTGTAAAAAAAATGAAAAAGATAGTTGAATAAAAATAAAAAGTATTTATGGGTATGGAACTCTTTTGCGAAAAAAAAATCGAAGTTCAAAAAGATTAGTTCGTTTGAAAATTTTAGGTAGTCCTATCCGTCGGATTTTGTAAACTAATAAGCAAAGATTATTTTCATTAATTTTATCATAAAATTTTGATAAAATCCACTAGAAACTAGTGTTGAAATTCAAAGCGCTTGTACTGTACCGCCTCTCTAATTAAACGTTTTTGTGCATACAAGAAAAGTTTAGTATCTAATGAGGAGGTCACCTCTTGCTGAAATCACAACTTGCATCCGTCTGAGCATGCCGTCTGAGTATATTCCTTAAGCTTTTGCGGTAGTCTCATTCTATAGCGGAACCAGCAGCATAGATCTTACTCATCACTTAAAAATGCTTTATGCGATCGAGGCACTTATTGTGCAAGCAAATTACAGAGATGCAACCGTAAGAGGTAATTTCGTCAAAACCAATCTCTGCAATGGGCTTGCCCAAGTCGGTGTTCATCATACTGAGATATCCTAGCTTTTCCGGAGAAAAATATCCTAGCCCAGTCTTAGAGTCCCTGAAACACTATCGAGCGAAGATAAGCGTGACAAATCGATGCTCATAGATTAATTTAGTGCCGCAGGCTGAATTATGCCAGTCTATAAAATTGACAATAAAAGTGGTCTTAAAATTATTTACAGTTTATAATAACTTTCGGGAATACGCGCCGTAAAATGTACTAAAAGTTTCCGTACTATATTTTTTTCAGGAAGGATAAAATCAAAACCCCAAATTCTCCTAACACTAAAAATAATAATAAACATGCTATTCATATCGCTCTCAAACAACCAATAACCGACGAGTCACAGATATCTGCGTCCGATGAAGCTTTAATAGTCTCGGGACTGAAAGCAAAAACATCAGTTAATACAAGTCACAGATATTTAAGTAAATTGTGGAAGTTATCCAAGTTGTGGAATCAATTGTCGCTAGCAGTGTTTCCGGACCGATAGTACTTCCTCTAAGGCTGGCAACGAACTTGCGACTTCTCTGGCGTTGTGAGTGTCGCAAAGTCGGCGGTGAACACTTACTTTAAAATGGGTCGCCTGCTCGTTTGCCTCCTTTTCCATAAAAATATAGTGAAAATCAAAAAAGTGTGGTGCTTAAGGAGCTATATTTGCACGGTCGACGTATAACTTGAACTATTCAAAAATATTTCACACAATGAGTACTAAAAAATCTGCCGATGCCAGTTCACCACTACCACTACCAGCCACTTCGTCACTTGAGTTCGTAACACCTTTAAATGCTCAATAACTTACATAACTAAGTTTTGAAAATCTCTGTTTAAGATGTATTAATATACACGCCACCACGCCACAATTATGACAAAAGCGAAGATTATAGGCAGTATCCATTAAAAAGAAGTATCACTATTGACGTGTTATTAACCTCTTAAAAGCTAGCACGATTGAAAACCGAATTCGCAAAGAATTAAAATAATTATTTTATTCACAGGAATAATTAACACATTAAATCTGTAACAATCATCACTAAGTGAAGCACGAACTTTATGGCGAGGTAACATTCATGACGTCTATAACAGGAATCTTATGGTGAGTAATAATCAAATGCAGCTCTATTCTTGACCTGTATACCCATTTGCGACGCGACAAATTATACCCTTTCGGCGTTTCGTAAACAATGACGACGAAACGATGACCTTTACGCAAATGGCGTGTACAATCTGCTGCATATGGTATAGTTCTTATGTACATAAATGCTTAGAAAACTTTTGTTACCACGACGACAAAAAGACTACTTATACACAATAGAAGGTGTAGGCTGCTTTTAATCACGTAAAGAGACGATATCAATGTTTTATATTTTTATATCAACAACGTATTTGTATTACATTTTTTTTTTATCTATGAACATTGTGGTAGAACATTTCTTTAATATATTATGATAATAATTTTCCTGGTTTCGATAAGTTCAAATTCGTTTCTGGTAAAACACGGCTCACGTATAAGGATGTTAGATTCTTATTAATTAAAATTAAAGCACAATGATTAATCCATAATAAAGGTTAATAATAATTATGGTGTGATATTATAAAAGAACTACTTGTGTGAAGTGTGAAAAGAGGTACTTTTGTATTATTTTTAATTAATTATTTTATATGAAATTACACAATCTCAAGCTAAGGGGCAGAGAAACAAAATTTTGTGTCTAAAATAATAAAGTGGAAAATGTTTCCCACTATATTATTTTAGACACAAAATTTCAGATAAAACAGAAAATCCTCAGATTCTTTCATTATACATAGCATTGCAATTTTATTTTCAAACATCGCTCCCAGTTACATTTATGGTACGATGAGTAGAATATTAGGACGTCGCCGTCGCATAAATAGCAAAGCTATGTCGAAAGATTCTTTATATTAGATAGAACAACATACGACATAAAATCGCTAAAAAAAAGTGCTAAAACTAACGCTTTCATGGCGTTAGTAGTTTCGAAATTCTGATCAAATTAAACGTCGATCCGGAATATAAACAGAATAGAAAAAAAACGTTTCTCAGCAATGTATTGTATTCAATGAGAATTTGTTTTCAGATGCCGAATTTTGATAATTCCTCAATTCAACGGGGAGTCGAATATGATGTGGCAATTACAGCTACTATTCTTTCTTATCTTGGCATTGGAAACAAATATGTCGCAGCAAGTGAGTGGATGAATGCGCTATAGCAATAATGAGCTCCATTTAATTAATCCTTCTTCATTTAATTAAATATTTAACAGTCGTCGTCATAGAAATATCACGAGGCTATTGGTACTTACGAGATTTTGGTCGGTTTGGAGTCTACTCGTAGAGATGCAATTGCAGTCAACGATGCGTTTAGCCATAAAAGCCGTTTGGCGTACGGCCAAATTAAAATATTTCTTTATTGATCAGTAAAACGGAATGCACCGATTGTATGTTAAATAAGTATAGTATTTGAAAAGGGTTGACCTGGATGTCTGGAGCATGGACTATTCATAAACGTGTTCTATCAGCACCATTGTATTCTTTAAATATCAAACTGTGATGCCAATGTATGTTTTGTTGAAATTTCAGATTGAATTCGAACAATCAACAAGGAGCGTTATTTCAAATGGTTTCGGCGATAGCACAGTTAAAAAACTCCAGTCAAGGGATAACAATGATAGAAAAGGTTTCAATAATTATATTCTGTATAATAAAAATTACCGACCGGTAAACTCTAACGCAGTAAACTCAGATATTCAACAAAAAAAATATTTATAAATGCAGATAGAGTTTTACCAGAAACCTAGTTTTTTTTTATTTAAAGTTTCAAATAACAGATTTAGTGGTACTTAACATTAGTGAGTTACATAATTACTAAATTTTTGAAAGTTTACGTCCTAGACTTATCGCTGGTGACAAGATGGCTGTTTCTTTTCTCGCTCAGAGTTTAAACATAACTATTCAGCGAGGAAATCTACGTAGCGTACTTGGCACCATACAGCGTTGCCTAGGTTTCTTAGATAACACGTAATTTTGTTAGATGTAATATTGTAAAAATGTTTTGTTCATTAATAAAATTTTATCATCGTAATTTATATTTCATAAAAATTATTTTACTACAGGATTTTTCCTTAATTTTAAAAGTTTAGAATTCATTCGTCCAGTTGTAAATTTTGAATTATCTTCTCGAAATTTTAAATTGAAATTTAAAATATTGAATATTTTAAATTGAAAGTCACTAAAAATTCTTTTAAACGATGGTTGACTAGGCGTAAATAATTTTCAAGATTAAGTTTATTTATTAGCGGCTATAAAGAGAGACTGATGTAAATCAATATTTTGTTATATTGAAAACAATAATGCTCTTTTAGGGCTGAAGAGGCATACATATTCAGAATGGTCCCGTTGGAGTGCATGCCAGGGAGGACATAAAACTAGGCGGAGACATTGCTTGCGTCGGCGGATTTGCGGCGAATCTCTGCGAGTCGAAGTTGCAAGGTTGGTTTTTGACGCAAATATCGGATCGCATCTCATATGAGTTGAAAATCGTGCTGTCGGTTGCATGACATTGCTACTTGGTTGCGATTTATTGAGGTGGTCCGATCCAATATCTTTTATTTACTAGCGAGTATAGCTGTAAGCCATTGAAACGTAGGTTTTGAGTAGAATAGACAAATAATTAACTCAACAATCCATAACCATACTGTTTAATTATAAAATAAAAAAAAACTATAACTATGTAAATTTTAAAGTTTTTTATAGTGCTAATCTCTGCACTTAAGATTTTTCTACATGTTATAACTATGTTATTAAAACTAACAATTATTTAAACAAAAGGAAAAAACTCAACAAAAATAAAAATATATAAAAATAGGTGGGTCGTGTGTTCACCCTTGCCACCGAGTATGCACCAAAATCCTCTTAAGACACTTTCCTGTAGCGTCCGTAGCGAAAAGTCCATACACTAGCGAGTAGGATGCTTGAAGACCGCAGGCAGAAGGCAGGTCCTCCAGCCAGTAACTTTGCGTCAGCAACGTGGCATAAGCAACAGAACCTGTGCAGCAAGGAAGGTTGAGACCCCAATTTCTGGGGTCGTACACAACAAACTAGCGCGCTTACCATCCACGGCTGCATCGCCACTTACCATCAGATGGGATGGCAGTCAAGCGCTAGTCAGTTATATATAAAAAAAAAAAAACTAAAAATTAATTATTTAGCTGGAATGCGGTTGAATTGTAGATTAAACGAATTGCCGGTACAAATAAATTGAACAGAGAAGCGAACGTAGCTGTAGTCGTTAGCAGTTGTTATTCTAGAATCACAACATAGCGATGTTTCATTATTTACAGCGTTCTCAGGCAAACACAACAGTTGTGCTGTATATGATTGATAAAATTGTAATTATTTACTTAAGAATTCTCAATAAAAAATTACTTTAAAGGTTCAAGTTTTCACTTATATCCGGTTTCGACTTAAAGAGTTTTCATAAAGCAATGCGCGGCGAAGTATAATTGTTTGTAAACAATTTCTGCGCGTATGATGTATTCGATTGTGTAAATATATATTCCAATGCGGACTGTGTTTATCTTCAGATGCAGTGTCTCGCAGGACAATACAATAAGGCATTTCACGCCAAAAAACAACACAGAACGCAATCCTCAAATCAACAGAGGGAATATTCAAATAGGAATGGTAATTTGGTTTTGATTTCATTACTTATAGAATTTAATAAGTTTTATTAAATACATTACATATGTATGACACCTACGTTGAGTAAACGCTAAACTTTTTGGTTTGCTATGTTTATAAGTAATTATTAAAATTGCACGACTTATAGTCTGTAATATACTTAAATTATTTATTTGTTTAGGTGTATGCTGCTCTTTCTCTGCATCTGATTCTTTTACGATGTAACAGAACAATTGTAGTGTAAAGTTGTAGCGTTTAAAGTTATTTTATTTATTGATACATCTTTCACAATTATATTTATTACATTGACAGAACATCTTATAATGATGAGGCTAAATAATTGAGCTTGGATTATAAAAGCTCTTAAAATTCACATTGCAGAATGTCCCAAAATCATCATCCAACTGTTATTTCTAATATATTGTTTCATTAACTGTGCTTTCCTAATAATGGAGAAAAAACAGAATTATGTCGAGGCCGGTGTACCACAAGGCAGAATAGTCCTTTCTATTATTTTTTTCCGTTTATAAAAACTTCGGTTATCAGAAATAAACTCTTAGTATTATCTTTGTGCCAACCCACTTCTGAATGATCAGTACATTAGATGTATTGGCAACCTTCATAACGGTATTCAATAGCTGAAGTATAATTTGAAAATTGAAGTATAATTTGAAAATTGAATTTGAAATTTGATTAAATACTGCCAATTACGTTATGGAAGATAGTTGTGAATCAGGTGAAATTTCGGGCAATGCTCGTAGTAAGGTCAAAGATGCTGGCTAAGCATACTGTTGGTAGTTTACCTCCTGTTCATTATTTTAATATATTAATATCGTAAGCTAAATCTGTTAACACCCCTGCCAGATCTCTGCGCTGTATACGTTTTCGTCCGCCTTTTGTGTTCCGGAATTTTGAGGGAATCGCACTAAAAATAAAAAGAATAAATAAAATAAATAATTAGTTACAAATAAAATTAATTTTATTTGTAATTAATTACTTTTATAAAATATAATAGTAAAATGTTTCACAGAATATAATTTTATTATAACTGTAACAACAGAACATTCTATTGGGACTGTAGGCATGTAATTTCTAAACAGTATAATTTTTTAGAATGCCGCAAGTGGATTAATTGTAATATAATTTGTTTGAAATAGCCACAGCAGCCGCAGCTAAGGCAAAATGACGATATACAAAATCAATTTCGAGGATTCTCCTCTTGGGGACCTTGGAGTTCTTGTTCCCAAAAGTGTACAACAGTCAGACGCAGGTAAAGTCTTTTTACATGTTATTTTTATGAATTTGGTTTACAAATTTGTTTACAAATATAATTTGGGATGATCTTATAATTGATAATAAAAGAAATGATAATATCTTTATGGCGCTAATTACTGACAAGCCTTGAAGATTGTCTCTGTGAGGGAAGTGTATATACGTAAGTATTGAATCAGACTAGAGGAACCGTCTTCTAGATTTGTGAACTGATGGTAGAAATGGTTCTGCAGTGGACTATTTCCGTGAAAAAATTCCGTATTTATGTGAAATGATGAAAATATTGATGGTAGATTTGAATCCTCACAATCCTGGAGCAGGCTTGAAATATATAAGACACTTTGGACCTGTGCAGAAACCCGATAAAGCCTCAAACCAGAGTTGCAAGAGCAAAAGATAAGAATAACTTTAAACTTCAGTTCCTTTTGTACTATGAAATGTTTTAGCGATTGTTCTGTAGCTTTAGTAAAAACTATCTGAATGGATTTTGCGCAATTTGATTCCGTATGTGTCAAATCTGTGTCTCCTAGGTATTGTCAAAAATGGGCGCTTTGTGGAAACAAGGTAATAAGGCAATCTGCTTACTGTTACCTAGAAGGCAGTTACTGTCACCTTTGGATTCGCAACAGGATGCAGCGGCGAAAGGACCCAGGTGAAATTGCACATAGGTATTTGGCTAACAAATTCTACCTCTTAACAGTTAAAAATTAATATCATAATGCAACAATGAATCAGAAGTTGGACGGCTATAGTAATTTTAGTCGTAATTGAAATCGCTAGGAGCGAGAGAAGCAATAATTCACGACACACACGATTAATTACCAATTCTTAACAACAACAAGAACTTTGTCGACACGAGTTCTACGGCCATTAATAACTACTTCAAATGAAATTAACATCAACAACCTGCTTTCTTTCCAAATGTTTATATTTATGGATAGGAGTGTTTCGAAATTTGCTAAATTAAATCTGTCCTTCATTTGGCAAGAATTAATCTCCTTCCAATTAATGCTTGTATTTAGATGCTGCTGATACACGGTGTCGCAATAGCTAACAGATAATAACTTTGATTTTAGTGTACTAACAAGATATATTCCCAAGTACCACCCAAATCGGTACAACAAATTTGAATTATTTATTGTTATAATTTATCAAAGGTCTTTATTACAAAAATAAATCTGGTAGAGGAATCTCATTACGGAACGATGGTAGATTTAAGAAATGATGACGAGCGATAGACGATTTTTTACTCCGTTGAATAAATGATTAGATTTATTCTAGAACGCCTGAATTGATCTGATGGTATTTTCATCGGCAGATAGGAAATATTTTCAGAGTAACAATCTAGTCTAGACATTTACAACGCTTGCTAACGCTCAACAATGTGCGGCATGAGCATTATCTATGTGTAAGGTTTATTCAACTTATTAAAGTAGTGTTTTCGAATTAATTTTATATGAATCAATAAAGCGATAACAGTAAAAAGAAAAAAAGCGATAATAGAAGAGATAACAGTGGAATAATTTGTTTAAGTAACTCTTTAGATTTAGCTTTTGAATTGAGTCGTGTTAGTTCCGTGTCCGGATGCTTGCCTACTTAAGTACAAATCCCGGTGAAGTCACGAATGAAATTGTTCATTCCAATTTTAAGTCGTGACATCACGTGCTCAGCGGTGATAGGAAACATCATGAAGAAACTTGCTTATCTAAATAATATCGAAGAGATGTGAAGCCTGCTAATCCACAGTTGGGGCACATGGTAGACAACGCCCTATTAGTCTCTGTATTAGTCATCTTCTTTTCATCATATTAGTTATCCCATTTTTATGACAACATTGTTTTACATAGTACTAAAATTTGTAGTGATATTTTGATTATATTAGAATAAAAATTAGATCGATTATTTTCTTTATTTTCGAGAAGAAATTATAAGACGATTAAATATATATTAAATTCACTATCAATCAACATTATATATTTATATATACTTTATTGAACACCATAAAATATAAAAGGAATTGTTACAAAACTATAAACTTAAGAGGTATAAACAATAAGGCGGTCTTATCGCTAAGGAGCGATCTCTTCCAGACAACCTTGTGGCAAAATATATTTTAATTTGGAAAACGGTAGGTGGTGTAAATGATAAACTTACATACATAAACATTAGATTGGTTAACTGTTGAAAAATTAATTTAATCGCAAAAATACACTTCTGGAGGTTTGACTTAAGGTAGTCGACACTAAAATTCATAAAGCAATTCTTTCATTTCTTTCCAAATTCTTTTAATTTTTTTGCTTTTGATTCGAGTTTTAGAACGGCTTTTCCCCTCGAAAAAACTATTGTCATGATCATATAATAATTTCACTTACTTTAATGAATTTAGTCCTTCTTGAGAAACATGATTGCTAACGTTTTCTTTTGCAAGGACAAAAGAGTTTGTTAATTTCTATGAAGAAAAGAAAGTCAATACCTGCTTGAATAAAATTAACTTCATATTTATTGTATCTTTACCGTTTATTCAAGTTTTGTTGTCCCTTTCCATCGATCTTTTATCTGTATTAAACATTTCAATTAAATTTATGACTTAATGTATAAATTTATAACGCTATAATTAGAATGTGATTTCCATTAATTTTTGTTCAATTGATTAAGATCATTAAACGTCTTACGACATTTTTATAGATGTTTTTGTAAGACGGTTACATCATCCATTTGTAGAATTTGGAAAATTAACTCATGTACCTAATATTGTTATGGTCTGGTGATCGTTGTCTTTACAATGAGTTAAAATTATGGACGATTGGCCATAGTCTAGAATAGAGGCAAATTAACATGATGTCAACCTATATAAAAAGATTTCCGTTTATTTTTATTGAAAACTGACGTGCTCCGGGTCTTGACTCTGAGTAACGTCAAATAAAAAAAAGTTTTCCGTGTGATTAGAAGCGAATGTAAATATCAAATATTTAATTAACGCAGATTATTCAATCGTATTTTGCAACGGTGCGTTGCGTGAGTTTCCTGCAACTAACCAAATATCATATTAGCCATCGATTTCAAATAAGTTATATACTCTGTCGTTTCTTTCAACTAATTCTTGGTACTTGACCGGACGAGCCTCATTAGTAAAGCAAAAAACTGTGTGGCAGTAAGGTCACCTGAAAGTAGGATGGCTGAGTCTCTTATAATCTATACCCACCCGTCCTCAACATAGATACAAGATGCACATTTGCCGATATCCATGATGATTAGCTCATATCGACAAATGCATACATAATACAGCATGCCCCTTTATCAGTATTTGGGCTCCGAACATCCACGCATTCACTCTTATAGCAAGCGCTGGCCAGTGCTACCCTGTGCGTTATGCGAGCTGATCCATTAAATTGCCAGCTGGTGGCCAGATGAAGGACGTTGACAGACTGAGTGGATGACATCGTTCATCGTTCCAGAATATTCGATAGCTGAAACTATGGCACCGCCGGCGCGGGCTATTCACCCGGAAGATACACATCCAACACCGCGGTCGCCACCTTGCGGTCGACTTGGGCGGTACCGTGGGCCCCATGGACGTACTCGCACCCGCATGAGGGACATGCTTCGTATAATAGGCGGCCGCCCCGCCCCGCCCGGGAAGTGGCCTTGGCAAGTCGCCGTTCTTAACCGCTATAAGGTCAGTAAAAGTATAGCCCAATACAGGGTGGTGAGAGGGACGTATGCAGAATTTGTTTCTAAATCTGAATCTGGTACGTACTTGTGACCTCATTTTCTTAAAGATTATTTTTAATTTTTTCCAAATTATGGACACCTTAAAAAATTCATGCCTTACCGTCTCAATACAATAACCTATTGACGGGCACTAAAACTTTTCGCTGAACGTATAATTACTAAATCGCTTAGCCCTATACAGAGTGACCACTCTTAACGGGATAAACAAACAATGTTGGAATTGACATTTTTCTGGTTATTTCTTGTCAAAATAAAATATTAATATTTTTTTTTATTATGGAATGCTCAATTAACATTATGTCAAAGTATGTACTTCGTCTAAAAAATCAACCTGTATAATAAGAAGTGCCACAAAAGAGCTGAGATATATGGTAATTTACCATGCCCTGGTAATCGTACACACCATGGCAAAGAGTAAATACATTTTTAATTTGTACGATGTAGCTCCTACGACAAATAGAAAATATTTTTAAATCCTTTAGACCCATCATGTTTGTGAGAAATAATGGAATCGTTTGTTATAAAACGAACAATTTTTCGTTTATGAGGGTGCACATTCGTTTAAATATTTTATGACTTGGTCCCGCTATCATCGATGGTAATATTCTAAAGCAATTCCATTAGTTATTTTTCACATTCACATGATCTTACTTTCGTCATCTGTTTCCTACTTATGCTAATGTCACTTACCATTTTAAATGTAAAATTTTAAACAGAATAACGTTCATCTGTGCAAGGTTTGATCTGCATCGTCCTTTGATATTCTTTGTATACGTATACATATACATATTAATTTAAATTTAATACATGCTTTATCTGTATGTATTATAGTGTGTGATAGAGCCGTGATAGCTCAGTGTCCGGGCGCTCGCCCTTAATTCAATATACTCGGGCAACCTGAGTTTGATCCCCGGTGCTGGCACCAATTAAATTGTTAATTTCAAGTGCTGAATTATCACGTGTTCATCAGTGAAGGAAAATATCGTGAGGAAACCTGCATATTTTCGAAATAACAATAAAAAAATATTTCGAAGATATGTGAAGTCCGCCAATCCGGAGCGAGGGTGCATGGTGGACTCTGCCTTGATACCCTCTGTACAGATGAGGCCTTTTCCCAGTATTGGGACATGTATAGGTTGAAATTTTTTTAATTTTACTTATATCCGTATGTATATACATATTTATTTATATTTACACACGCCTCATTCTGCGAAGTACGACCACAACTGCTTCCTGTACAGTGTTATTGATTTCAGGAGGCGTTTTGCGGTGGTACCTTAATATCCTTGCGGTGGGTGGTGACGGCAGCGCACTGTGTTCGCCGTCGGTTGTACGTTCGATTAGGCGAGCATGATTTGTTTGTCCGCGGACACGGTGAGCTCGAAATGAGGGTAGTGGGTGCCATTGTCCATCCTCATTACGACCCCGACACCGTTGTGAACGACGTCGCTATGCTGCGGTAAGACTAATGAGAGAGATATAGAATAATTAGTGATAGTGTATTTGTTACATAAATTATGTTGACAATTTTTCCTCCTGTGTTAGAGCCATTTAATACCATCGGTAGAGGCACGAATGTCTCGGTTTAAATGGAAAGCGCCATGGTTCGAATCTCTTACCATCTAAACTGTTTGTTCGCAAAATATGCCTAGTCGGGTCATAAGTTCTGCTACCTAGTGGAACCCTATTGATTTTTAAATTCTGGCCTCAAAAATATTTATTGAATCCAATTTTTAATGAATTATTTATGAAAATAAAAATTTGCAGTATTCCTTTCATTTATTTAAAATTAAATTAAAAGTTGTAAAGAATTTAGTACGAAAATTTGTCGCCACTGTAGGAATCGAACTCGCGTCTTCGTGTTTCGCGCCCTGACGCTTTAGCCAATAGTCTAAACGGGTGATTGCCACACCCATGAAAATCTCAACGTCTTTAAAAAAACAATGCATATGAAGCAATGTTCGGCGCAACCATTGTTTTATCCTTTTTAGCATACAACGATATATGAATATCTCGAATGAGTAACCTTCTTATAATGTTAATCCTCGGAAGGTTGCCAGCACCAGCCCGGCCCGAGCTTGGTCACGGCATCGCCTGCTTACCAGAGCCCCAGCAGCTCCTGCCCCCGCACACAACTTGCACCATACTTGGCTGGGGGAAGAAGCGGGCCAGTGACGCCCACGGCACGAGAATTTTACACGAAGCGCAAGTATGTTTGGAATAATTAGATTGAGATATTATATTGAAATATACATTGCAGCTATTTTCCTGTATATCAGAAATAAATTCACTGTACATTACAATGCTGTCTGCGTAACGTAATACATTTTTTCTTTCAATTTTGGAAAACGATAGTCTAGGACTCTAATGTATACTCAATAAAGATTTCTTATTTATTGAAAACATTCCTCCAATTGTTGTACCTTTTACATATATAACGTATGTAAACATACTTAGCTTCGGCATAATTATGTCTCGTCCCACACTGGCCAAGTATTTGCCCCGCGTGGGAATTTAACAACGAGCTGGAACGCTAAGCATACTTCTAAGAAACTACTCCAATCGAGAAGTCAATAAAATTTACAACAATTTATATATAGTATGTTTATTCAAAGTAATGTTTTCTTATTACAAATTCGTGTTTTATTCCCCACAGATGTGCGTATTTCGATTGCCAAACCTTCGCCATAAAATACTTATTATATTGTCAACGAAAGTAGGCAACCTTTTTACGGGGTGATTAATCCTAATCAAATAATGCCATTATCGTACTGAGTGATAAAACTTTCAACATTTCACATTGGCTAGATTGAAACCAATAACATGTCTACATTTTTAATAGCATTAAGTTTCAAAAAAGTTCAATTAATGTTTACGAAAAATACTGTATAAGTTAAACTTTCTTTTTTTTTCCGAAAGAAAGGAAAATTTTTCTTCATTAAGACGCTGTTTATAATTTATGTGAAAACCGATAATACCTAAAGTAGCTTCAAAGTTTTTGTTTCTTGATGAAGTATTTAATAAATTTTTTGAAGTTATACTTCTTTTATCGCGTTTGAAAAAAAATATAAAGAGTAAGATGCGAAAAAATATATACCTTCAAAAAGCGATATGATTCATCCAACTTCACGGCATAACCATGACAACCAATAACAAGTTTTTGAAATTTACCAACAATTCGAAGTTATATAAATAAATCGTTATCAATTCCATTTAATGTCTTTGCGCTAAAGAAGTATAACTTCTTACGTGCGTGCTACGTTTACACATACAACTTTTTCTCTATTGAAGTGTATGAAATCCTACACCATTTTATATCATTGAAATCTTCCATTGCAGTTCAATAGGTTTACGTTAAAGCCAATTTGAAACCGACAGTCTTATAGCTATTGGTATAGCAATTTCATTGTTTGTTGGCCGACCGTTCCATTCGGCAAAAAGGTGAATTGGCTTTTATTGAGTGCCGTTTCAGAAAGGCTCTTTTGTTATTTGTTGTGTAAATTGCATTTGTAATAAATATCATATCATTTTATAGGAAATTTACTAAAGTACTTTACCGATTCTTACACATATTCCTGATCGTCCAATACTGAGATGTTATAACTTTGCGACACTAGACTCCCAAAAGCTCAATTGTAATAAAATAAAGTCAACTTGTTTTTGGTCGAAATTAAACGTGTGACAAACGGAGAAAGGGCAAAAGTTCACCTAATGTGCATGTTCTTTCCACGCGATGACTGACTGAATTTCGATGAAACTTAGAATTGCGATGCCATTGTATAATCTATAGGCTACTGTTTGTCCTCTACAATGAACTATTTTATTTCGAAAAGTCTAAGAGAAGTTACAATGATTTCAATTATGACTAGTCTACTCTACTCTATTTATATTTTATTTATACTTTATTTTACACAAAAAAAAACATATATACAAAGCAAAATTAAAAAAAATGTTAAAAAAAGGTCAATCGGCGGTCTTATCGCTCAGAAAGCTATTTCTTCCAGGCAACCATTGCGAATGGAATAATTTCTCTAGTTTTGTTATAAAACTCGTCAGGTGTCCACGATACAGCAGGGCGTGTGCCGTCGCTCGTACTGGCAGTACGCCATCACCGACAACATGGTGTGCGCTGGGCGTGGCAGGAGAGATTCCTGCGCTGGGGACTCTGGTGGCCCCCTGCTCTGTCGTGACCGGAACATGCGTTACTACTTACAGGTGTGTTACCCAATCATGTTTTAATAACATGACGCGTATCTACACTGCGCAGCGTTTAATATTGTTCCGCTTTAAATTACATGACATACCTATATGTGAATGTGACAGATGATATAGAACGTGTGGTGCAGAAAGAGAAAGCAGTCTATAGAATTGCAATGTAATTACACCAATTGGCGTAATTTGAGTATCTCAATTCCGGTGCGCTAGTGTCATATCTATACTAGCGACCCGCGTATTATACTTATAAACCTTCCTCTTGAATCACTTTATCTAGTAAAAAAAACCGCATCAAGATTCATTGCGTAGTTCTAAAGATCTAAGCATACATAGGGCCAGACAGACAGCGGAACGGCTTTGTTTTATAATATGTAGTGATCATTCCCAATAGCCGATAATGATAGTTTGCCTTTTTTCTTATACTTTATTTTATTGATAAATCGACACAGTAATGGAACGATATTACTTGTATGTCGATTAGTCTCCATGCATTCAACCAGAGTTGAACATGTAAGGACAATTTACTAAGAATCTAAATCACGTACATAGTTTCTGTAAGTAGTGTTCGTCAACCTTGATAAATGAATGCAATATTTGGACTTATTCGACTTAGAAAAGTCGATAAAATACCCATTACTTTTTAAAGACCGACACTGTATCCACGTGTATTTCAATACTGCTTATTAAAATAAAATAGGTATCTCTTAATTGTTTGTTCTGCCTTCAAAATGTTAACGGATAACATACAAATGTAATGGATGATGACCGTTCATTCAAAGTCCATAATAGTTGTAATTTAAGTAGATGTTTAATTGAAACTTGATTTTTGTTATAATTTAGAATCTGTTAAAGCTGTATTTTATGAATATATAAAATTAAATAAAATCAACTTTTACACCTCAAACTTAATTTTTCTTTGATCTGCGTGCATGCAACTGACACGAATTAGCATAATATTTTTTGCTTATAAATGATTTCATATGCAGATTGATTTATAAATATGAAGAAGAAACAGAGCTTTTGGAAGGGAAACACTTTTTTGCTGTTGAATATTAAAATAGAATGCGTATTACAACGTAATGAAATATTCAAAAATAAGTATCTAATTTTTGGACATACATAATTCAGGTTAATAAAAAAATATAATTTGATGATGTTTTTACAGTAGTTCATATTAATAGAGGTATATTTACTGTTATTCGTTTTAATGTTAGGAGGATCTCAGGGTCGTTGGGTAGCAAACGGAGGCTAATATGGCGAAAATATACGGAACATTTATTTTAAATGGGTCTTCATTCCTTATTGTTATATTCAGTCAGAACCCTGTGTAAAAATGTATTCTTAAAACATTCCAAATTTGCAAGGTAAACTTCGTCTTCGATTATAGTTAAATAATGTTGGTTGTTTGATAGCTGATAACATATTATGAGTTATGACAAAAATATTAATAGAAATATTTGCTTGTAATTTCCAACAAAGTTAAATTATTCAACTACGGTGTGAATCATAAAAAAGTGTCTATGAACGCATAAAAAAAGTAGCGTTGCATATAATTAAGCAACGTAGAATAAACAAATAAGTTTATTGATAGAAACTGAGAGCGTTTACTTCTTAATAAAGCCAACAATTTCCGTCCATCGTAGTGTGGCAAATGTATTTATACGGATAATTGATTGCGGATCTCAGCGAAATGACAAGATCTCTTATAATTATTAATTCTATAGATTTATTATTATTTGCGTCCTATTTCAGGGCATAACGAGCTTTGGCGACGGATGCGGCAAGCGAGGCAAGTACGGAATCTACACCCGTACCGCCGGTTATGTGATGTGGATGAGAGATGTGATTAATAACAAATATTTTGACGATTGAAACAAAAATTAATTAAAATGTCTTCATTTTTCATTGTTTTCATTTAAAAATACTTCTCTACTTGCTTTTGCTTCATTATCCCACCGAGGTTTTTTACTGCCTGCCTGACGTCAACGCTTTTTGGGAATAAATATGCAGATCCGTAATAAATATCTTTAGTTCACAAATATTCACAAATATTCAACGAATAATAGAGGCGTAATAGACAGCGAACCTGTCTCTTGCGCCAGAGGGGTGTGATCCCCACTACTTGGAAAATCTTGTGGAACCAACACAGTGGCTTTCTAGAGCCTGGGTTTATACATGAAAAATTTCATCATCATCATCATTGTCATTTCAGCCTGTTTGAGTCCACTGCTGAACATAGGCCTCCCCCACAGACTGCCACGAAGCACGATCCTGAGCTACCTGCATCCATCGACTCCCGCACATTTGCACAGGTCGTCACTCCATCTACGTATGTAGGTATGTATAAATTATTTATGGAACGTGGGGGATCGTTCCATAACCTAGAGAATTAAATACCAAACAGGACACGGAAACGGCAATTCGAGCCCTCACAAGCCACGTCAACACCGTCGTCGAGCAATGCTCGAGACAGGTTCCAGCGATGGAAGACCATCGCTGGGCCCTGCCAGACGATGTGCGAGACTTGCTGAGACGCAAGAATGCGGCCACTCGAGCCTATGATAGATATCCCACCGACTCGAATCGTAGACTGCTACGTAAATTGCAGCGTGAAGTCAAAACACGCATAGCAGATTCACGAAACGAACGATGGGACTCCACCCTAACTTCAGTAAAACCATCCCACGTAGCTTTCTGGAAACTTCCCAAAGCAATCAAGGGTAACGGCATAACAACCATGCCGCCACTAGTCCGTTCGATAGGAACGCCAGCAATGCTGGACGAAGAGAAGGCCGAATGCCTGGCTGACAGCCTAGAGTCTCAATGCTCCCCCAGTCTGCTTCCGATCGACCCCGAACACCTCCGCAAGGTGAACGAAGAGGTAGAAAGGAAAGCTCTAGAGCCACTCCGCGATCCCGTTCCCCCGGTCACGTGCCTAGAACTAGTAGAGACCATTAAAAAACTACGCCCCCGTAAAGCCCCCGTAAAGCAGGCTCAGATGGAATCACCAATAAGGTGACCAAGCTCCTCCCTACTAGCATCCTTCAGGTATTAGTATTAATTTACAACGCGGCCTTAACCGAAGGCTTCTTCCCATCAGAGTGGAAGGAAGTCGATGTCATAGGGTTCCTCAAACCCTCTAAACCCGCTACTCTCCCAACCTCATATCGTCCAATAAGTCTTCTCAAAACATTTGGGAAGATCTTTGAAAGACTAATATTAGCCCGCTTAAGATCCCTTATGGACACCAAAGGGCTCCCCATCCCAGAGTAGTTTGGATTCAGAGCCAAACACTCATGTACCCACCAAGTGCACCGCATCACGGAGCACATATTAACCAAACGCCAACGTGGACTCAACACCGCTATCCAAAACTCATAAACCTCTGTGCACTCTTCCTGGACGTGGCAAAAGCGTTCGACAAAGTCTGGCACAACGGGCTCGTATACAAGCTATACGGGTACGGAGTGCCCGACCGTCTCGTATGCATAATACGAGACTTCCTAACGAACCGAACCTTTCGCTATCGCGTCGAGGGCGTGTGTTCGACTACGCATCCCGTTCGAGCCGGGGTGCCTCAAGGGTCGGTGTTGGGCCCAGTCTTGTTCACCCTCTACACCAATGACATGCCGCGTGTCAAAGATGTAGAACTTGCTCTTTTTGCCGACGACACCTGTATCTATACCACAGGCAGAACACCCGAATTGATCCATCGACGCCTCCAAGCTGCGGCCATCACCATCGGTGACTGGTTTCGGCAATGGAGGATCGAAATCAATTCCGCCAAAAGCGCGGCAGTCCTTTTCGCGCACAAAAAGAACATACCCATTCCACCCCCCGTTAAACTCTTGGACAGCCCAGTACCATGGGTTAATAAAGTCAAATATCTAGGCGTCGTCCTCGACTCCCAGCTTAAATTCACCCAGCACGTGACCCAGGTCAGGAACCGGGCGGCCTTCGTACTCGGTCGCCTCTACCCGCTCCTCAATAAAACGTCAAAAATGTCCCTTCGGAACAAGGTGACCTTATATAAGGTAGTAGTTCGACCTATCATGACGTACGCGAGCCCCGTCTTCGCTCACATTGCTCCGAAGTAAATACACCGGCTTCAGGTGATTCAAAATCGATTCTTGCGCAGAGCCACGGGAGCACCCTGGTTCATGCGCAATATCGACCTACATGTCGATCTAGAATTGCCCACCATCGCGCAATTCCTGAAGTCGGCGTCGCGCCGATATTTCGATTCCGCCGCCGCGCATCCCAACCCACTTATCGTAGGTGCCGTCACCTACAGGCCCTTGCCGCTAAATATTTTCCGCCGCGATTACCGAAGACCGCGTCACGTTCTCGACTTCCCTGACGATGAGACGACTATCGCCATCGAAAGGATCAAAAAACTCAAGAAACACACCAACACACACCGCACTCGCCGGCGAGTGCGGCAAACATATACTAGGTTCCGCCACGTACCTGGCAGGTTTTCCCCTATTAATGATAGAAGCGTTGCTGGAGTTTCTTCCGCCACTTCTTCTCCCAGCGCCAAGTAATGTTAGCTCTAGTAATTCCCCCAGTCAGATAATAGCTACCGATCGAGCCGAGGTCCGGCCCTTTCGGGCACCCTCGAATCGGAATGCTAAACGCGTGCTGAGTGACAGCCCAAGCCGAGGTCCCCTCTCGGGGACCCTTGAGCCTGATCACTCCATGGAGCGCCCGCCAAAGCGCCCTAAGAGCTTGGCGGCCTCCCAAACCGGTAACAATAATAGCGTGACGGCCCGAGCTGAGGCTCCCCCGGGAGCCCTCGAGCTTAGTCACCATAACGCGTAATAATAGTACGTCGAGGTTCAGGCTAGGCGCCTCGTGCGCCAGGCCACCTCAAGTCCGTCGGATCTGTAAAGGCCCCTAAGGCCAACAGTGGCTCATCCAGCCCAAAAAAAAAAAAAAAATCGTTCCATAAATAATTTATACATACATAAATGTGATTTAATATTTATAATAGATTATATATCTATGATATATTCATATAAATTAAATAATATAGAGCTAAATACAAAAAATATTATAAAAGTATTTTTAAGTTTGTTTATCAGTTACCTGATACAATACCCATAGTAAAAGCTTCTTAGTTTAAGAGTAGTGACGGTGTGTCAAAAATGTCCTTAAATTGTTTAATTTTTAATTCCCACCCAAGCATGAAACTAAATAGTACACAGCACTTTAATTGAACCTAGCAACCTGGGCGACCGATGCCAAAACGTAAATAAATGCGAGAACTAGGTATGTGTTTATTAAATTTTTCCATTAAAATTCTTTGTAATATCAACTTATTAAAAATTATCTCTCTCGGGCTTTGCCGTAATTACTCGCGCCTTGAATCGGTCTGTCTCATAATAGAAACATAGATGGTTATTTCGATATCTATTTCAGGTTATAAGAGAGTGCTGGCATTCTCATCGCTCGAGTTTTCAACGCTCTAGGGAATAGGATTATAGTGAATAATAAATCACTATCATAATAATGCGTCTGTAAAAGAGCAAGATAAATTTAATCTCTGTGTCAATGGTTGACTAGTGATTGTGATGAATTCTTACGATCTAAGTTGTGGGTACAACAACGGATGTCACACGTCTATAAATTTATATATTTTGGTTTTCGTTATAATTCTGTGCTATGAAAGAAATTAAAATTAATTATGTGCATTTCTCTGAAAAATATATAAGAAATATTTACAGTTGCACGTGTTGCACGCAGGCAGTTTTATATGAGAAATCTTACTGTGCAAAATAATATTTATCTTAAATCAAGAAGTGGATTTTAGATATCAGAGCTTTTAATGAATTTATTACATTTACAATAAAGGTAATAAGTCTAGCATAAGCCTTTGAGATTCTTTGTAAAACTGAGGACAAAGACTAAGCTTCCTGGTGAGATTATTGGATTTCATAATTGGTGTTTTTGTTTGAGTGTATTGAATTTTCTGCAGAACACAGATTGAAGTGGAGAATAAGGGTGGTTTAAAATCGTTCCTTTTCAATTTGTATGTTAATAAGTTATTTGAGGGTTTGAGTCAATAGTTGGCAGAGAGACAATAGATAGCTGTTCTGGTGATGATATTTTGACCTTAAGCTACGCAGATAATACGACTACCATAGGTAATATATGTTGGTTCGTGCGTTTACAAAACTTATAAGAAAGGGAAAGATTGTGCTATGGTTCACGGGAAGTTATTACAACGTACAATTGTAGAAACTTTTTTGGTGTCCTAGATTTTCAATTCTTTCTCGGAATGGTGACAGATTACTCCAGGTTGATACACCATCCTAGACTTTACTCATGCTTTTAAGATACTTTTGCTTTGGTGAAAAATGAGGCAGTGGACCAAATAAATTACCAATCGATGGCCTTACATTCGTACTTCCTCCGCCGTCCATTTTAGAAATAATCTCACACTTTGTTTTGTTTATGTGAAAGGTTGCCAAGCGAGCAAGCACCTGACGTTAGGTTTTCTGTGAGGTCGTGGTACTTACCCGGACCTTTCGTGCAACAGCCGAGGCTGCTGCATGGCCCTACCACCGTTAACGTTACTATTTCTACGTTACTATAGCTTACAACTAACTATGTTAGTAAAAAAATAATAAAAGTGAACAATAACGTGTATAGCTTAAAAATGATTATTTTACATTCTATGTCAGGCTATAAACGACTGCTGCCATATTTATTATTCGAATCTTCAAAGCAATATATAGCAAGGCAAAATATTGGTTTTAGTGGAGTTTACCTGTGTCTTTGAAATCATTATCGGTAAATTTTAATAAATTAGTTACAAAATGATTGTGAAGAGTATGCATAGTTTACTTGAAATTCATTACAAAAACGATGTTAGAGCAGTGAGTATTGGTCGCAGTAGCTAATTACATTTGTAATGATTAGTATTTACTTAGACCTATCTTGCTAACAAGAACTAATACCTTAGTGCCATAGCAAATTATGTACATCAATTTTAACAAGAGTTATTTTGAAAAACGGATATGCATGGGATTCCTATATTTGGTGAAGATCATCTTATTATAAAAAAAGTAAAGTAACAGCCTATGTCCCACGGCTGGGCAAAGGCCTCCTCTATACGAAGGGTATCAGGGCATAGTCCACCACGCGGCCCCACTGCGGATTGGCGGACTTCACATATCTTCGAAAAATATTTTTTCGTTATTATTTCGAAAATATGCAGGTTTCCTCACGATATTTTCCTTCACTGTTGAGCACGTGATAAGTCAGGACTTAAGAGTTAAAAACTTCATTGATACCGGCACCGGGGATCGAACTCAGGTTGCTCGAGTATATTGAATTAAAGGCGAGCGCCCGGACACTGAGCTATCACGTATCTTATTATAAGGAAAATTAATTAAAATTGTCTCATAATTCTCTTGGTTAAATAAATAAATACCTAAAATTTATTTATTAAACATAACATAAATTATACATGTATGACAGATTTTTTTGTTAAAACACGTAAAGGTTTGATAAAGTTTACAGCATCCTTGAGCTTTTAGAAAACAAATATTTTGTAAATATTTATAGGTATAAAAATATTTGCTTCAGATATTCTAAATGAAATATGCGACAAAGAACTTTCTACAGATATATACGGTACAACGTAATAACTGTTGCCTTATTGGCCCTTGAGCTGAGCTACAGAAGCAATATTATGTTATTAATATCGCAACTGACATTGTGAAAACACCTCAATGTATTACAGTCTTTTTGGCGAAATCCAAGATTCATCGATATGAGTTCCTAAGTATTTTATTTAGCTTTTAACTAAACGCATGCAGAACATATTCAAAACATTCTTACTAACAGAATTATACTTTTTAATATCAAATATCTATCAAATGTGAAATTCTGAATTGGTGGAGAGTTTAACATTTTATAATCATGGTGTTTATTTTCATTTCGAGTGTAGTATTGAAATACTTGAAATTTTGGCGATTACTCGTAAAACTGAATGATTTACTGTGTCAAACACAAAACTAAAATCGTCTATAATCTAAATTGACAACATTTTTAAGATAAATTTTTATTTTTCTCATTCTTGTATTTGGAATCATTCAAATGCCTTAGATTGACGGAATCTTCTGGTGGGTGACTCTATTAACTTCCTCTATCACACGTCGCACAGCACTGATGTTATCTTCAGATGTCGCTTTTGAAGGACGTTCTTCATGCGGATCATCATTGAGATTGGTAGGCTCATGCTTAAACTCAATAAACCAATTGTAACCACTGTTTACACGGGATCGGGCTTCATTATTAAACACCAATCGAAGTCTATCATAGCTTCGTTGTTTTTTTTATTATCTGTATGTTTATGGGGTTTTTATCTATATAGACACACCAACCCCATTGAGCTTCGTTGTTGAGTAAGACCACAACGAAAGTCATAACATAATAAATCATGGACCGATTTTAATTTTCTAGCGTTAAATTTATTTTGAGGTGTAACAAGACATATTTCCCTCTAATTCACAAAAACAAATGACAAACGAATGTAGTTTATAACATTAGGTTACCAAAGAGCTCTATATTCAAATCTTAAAAGAAGTTTTCATTGGCAATGTTTATAACTGGCCAGTACTAAGAACTTTTGACCTAAGTAGTTGCTGATCGCCTTTACTTGTATTTGGGATGTTTGCAGAGAAACTTCCAGCTTTTATATATCTCAACGTCAGGGTCTCTATATCCTTTTTCAGGCGGTAGCTTTTAATTTCTTTCGCTTTAACATTATAATAGCAACCCAAGTTTAAATCTCCATGCACATGAAATTAAAATTACAATTGCAATTTATCACGTACCCGGGGAAAAAGGAGATTAACATGATACGTGTTATGAATAATTTTGAAACAATTACGAAGATATATGAATTCTGCCAATTCGCTTATTACTTTACTTATGCCTAAAACAAAAAAAGTGATAAAAATCTAACAGTCTTGTCTGAAATAAGGAGACACATTTGAATTTATTGAATACAAGACAAGCAATCTGTTATTCATCAAAAACGCACGTTCTAAGCATTATGGAAATGACTCTGTAAGGATCAGCATTGGCGGCAGGACGTCTATCTTCGAGGTAGCCTCGTTTATCTTCTGAAACTTGGCGAGGGATCCTTACCGCGCAGTTGCGGTTGGCGACACCTGTAACAGAAATACAAAGAGTCTATTTTATGGTTTCGAATAGAAATACCTTAAAAGAGACAACAATATTTATACAATTATTAGATTTATTCAAGTAAATAAAGATCAATCTTATAAGATTTATAATTTTTAACTAAATATTTCTTTTATATGTTTGCTTTAATTATTAAAATTAAATTAAAAAAATCTCAAGCTAGGTAATAGCTCAAATAACTATTCTTCTTGGCTGCTTTTTGGTTGTATTTTGTTTGTTTTTAAATTTTTGTAATTATTAGTTATTAATGAGTTCGATTTACATAATAGAGAAAAAATATGACAAACGCTTGATTTCAAGTACTACTATGATAACGAATCTTGTAACAGTTAAAATATTACGAAAAGTATAAAAATGTTGTGCATAGGAGCAAGGTTCTGCAAAAAGGCAAGTAAAAATTTTACTCACTATGAAATACGAAAGTATCAAAGCAATATATAACAAAAGGAAGCATATAAATGCCAATACAATATTTCCATTTCAGTTATATGTCTTAAAGACAGGGATTTTATTGCTTTCATTCTTATTTTGTATTCTTAAAGTTTTAAATTCTGGATGTAAGTTCATCATTTTCACCAAAATAATATACTTTTAGCTACAAGGTTGTCTGGAAGAGATCACTCTTTATCGATAAGACCGCCTTATTGTATCTACCTCCTAAGTTTTTCTTTCTGTTACATTTCTTTTAACATTTTTGTGGTTGTCAATAAAGCATATATACATACACAGTATTTATGGTGACATATTTAATTAAACTTTACCATAATTATTTCGTTGCAACGATAAAGATTTCATTTATGAGATGTTTTATCAACGATACACTGAAAGTTCATATTAAAAATAAGCCTATTCAAATAATCTAACAACTACTTCTTATACGACGTTATTATGTAAGAAATGATTTTTACAAATATGACGTGATAAAAACGATGAAATGAATGAAAAATTTGATCTCATTGCATAACACAAATTATGAGACACATAAAGGATAATAAAACTGTCGCAAAAGCTAAGTAGCTTAACTTTAAAATTTGCTGCGAGGAGATGCATGAATCTCCTCATAAAATCAAATTCACTCATGGTGCTCGGTACATCAGTTTGAGCAAAGCGATATATACAACACCTGCAGTGAAATCACGTAGGTGAGGCATCCCCTGCTTCCCTGTTAGACGACGTGCATTATCTGCGCCATTGTTGGCGTCATACTCATTAATATGCACTCCGTGACGTCTAGATAGTTTGTCGATCGCACGCTCGATTACCCTGGAAACGGCGAGTTCATACAGTTATTTTCTTTTCAATGTCCACATTGTATAGCGCGAAAATAGGCTACGTCTATATTCATTGAACTAAGACCGTTATGGCAATCAATATTATAAACGTTAAACTGAGTACGTCATCCTATTATTCCCTTTTCAATCCGCAAGAATTGAGCAGACTTCAAACTATAGATGATGAATTTAATACATATGAAGCTAGTAAAAATAAATAAATAAATAAATAAACATTTCAGGATATATTTTTATAACTGTTAGACATAACGCACAATAATCTTCCAGTAGTGGGGATCGAACCCACAACCTCTAGCGCCGGAGACATTAACAATATACACTATGCCATGCCAGGTCACCATTCCTTACGATGTGAAGGTTTATTTTAAAAGTTGCCACTGTGTTTTAACTGTAGTAAATGACTATAAATTAATTACTGTAATTATTTTAAAGTAATTAATGTAATTATTTATTTTGAAACTTGGTAGTAAATTATACATAAATGTTATAATAAGGTTTCAGCGCTAATTTTACTTTACTCACAGAACACCATCCTCTTCTCTCATGTCTTTGGTGGAGAAGTAAACGAATGTACCGTTGCCGGGCCAGTCCGGAACGGGCTGAGCGTCAAACGATGCGACTGTGCCGTATTCTTCGGCCAGCCGTGATAATATGTATCGCGCCATCCATAAATCATCTGCCGCACGTATTCCAGGACTCGGACCGACCTGAATTAATATAAGAATAAACATTATTCATTAAATAAAAAAAACTGTCGAATGTTCATATTTATTTAATGTTACCATAAATAATTTAATTAAATTTGATATTTTTTTAAAACAAATTAAATTAAATTGTTTATATGTTTAAGTAAATAATTCAGACATGCATGTTGTTTAGTCATAAACAAGCGTTAGATGTAAATATACGTCTCCTAATTGTGTCGATGTACATTTTCAATGTGTTTAGTTTAACAATAAGTGCTGTAGTCTATAATAATAATTCGTATTGATTTCATCATCATAACCGTCGATTACAGTTTTTATTTACTTAAGAACGATGTCATAAATTTATAGGACCTGAAAATTCCATTGAGATGGAGTTGTCCCTGGATTGATCCCGTTAACTTTCACACCGGCGTAAAGGCAACATCTGCAAAATCAAAAATTGTTTAAAAGCACACTTACTTTATAAATTATCATAATGAATTCGTAACATAATTGCAGACCGTAGAAAGCTTGTACACACAGCTCAGTCGTTATATTTTAGTTCGTTATAAATAAAGTTTAAAAATTTTTAATTTAAGATCTAGAGGGAACACTAATTAATGCAACGAGATTGCAGTTACAGAATAATTCTTATTTTTTTACTTAAATAATAGATAACTTCTGGTTCTAATAACTTCTGGTCTAGATAACGACTGGTGACGCATATAAAGATTACCGAAAGAAAGCTTCCATGAGATCCCTTGCAACAATCTTGTTCGCACCAATGGCGCAGTAATAAGGACCTGGTGGCGCGGGAAATCCTCCAGGGGGCCAACCAAGCGGCCTCCCGTCGGCCGTTGTTAAGAAAAATTCTTGATTAAATCCGAACAAAGGCTCCTCAACCTCACTCTTCTCACAAAGTATTACGCAGCTCTTGCGATGGTTGGTTTCTAAATTAGGCAGAATAAGAATGGAAAGAACAAATAAGATTTTGTTGCTTTCGTATATTAACGTTAAAAGAAATGATTTTGTATAGTCCTGGCGTTCAGTTTTTCATTAATTTACTCTAATAGTTCGCGTTTTAATCTCGAGTTTTGTAGCTAGTTTAAACCTTAAAATAATTAGTGAAAACGAATCACCTAAGTAATTATCATTTAAAGTTAAAGAAAACTTACGTGTCGGAGAGTAGTTGTATTGGTACGTATCAGCGAGCACCATAATGTGATTACCACGCCTGAATGGATCGTGATAAATAACTTCGGGGAAAATAAACGTGTCGGAGTTGTCAAAGCTGGCTTGCGCTGTATTGCTGCCGTCGAAGTACCAAATTGGCAAATCTAGATTGACGATATCTCATGTGTGAAAACAGTTCTTAAAAATATTTTTGTTTAACAGATTACGGATGCGTCACAAAAACTTTGTGGAGCTCAAATTTGTTTTCAGTGCGGGAGTCAAACCTATCAATCAACTGTTACTAGTATCATGTTTTGTGGCAATGTGGCGAAAGTGGCAATACTTGCGCGATCATTTAACAAATAAAAAGTGGCAAATGTACGGGCGACTAACCTGATGTTAACTGAATACCGTCACCCATGGATATCTACAAAACCTGACGGGTTGCATATGCGTTGCCAACATTAAAAAAAGTGCACCCCGGTTACCTCACTCACCAGACAAAACGCGAAAGAACAACACTTCCACTGCACACCGGTCTAATGTGAGGGCGGGGTACTTCCCCGAATGATCCCACCCATTCGTGCAACAGCCAAGCTGATGCCTGGAATTGCCACAGGAGACTATGACTACCGAAAAAATTAATCTTAAATATACAGCGTGTCGTTACAACCGCGACAATAAATGAACACACATATAAAGGATAACTTTTTAAAATTGTATTAAACATTTACATTACTTAAACATCAATATTTACCGAGCTATAAAATTTTCCAAAACAAAGAATTTTAGGACACCCTTACGTATAAAACTGTAACGTAAAGTTCATTTGTAAAGGTCACAAAGCATATGAATGGGTTGAATTTAAAAGAGATAAAATCTACTGTTTGAAGGCGAGATTTGTAATGCGACGCTGTGGAAACGAATGAAAAAGTCTCTGAATGTATGAATCAGTCAGTTGTATAGGATGTTACAAATTTTGTTTCTTTTTTATTTAATTAGTTTGTTTGAAAAGTATTTTTTTAAGTTATGGATTTTTTTAACGTTTATATTTTTTATGATTATTGGCAAGTAGCGTTAGACGTGTGTTCATTTATTGTCGCGGTTGTAACGACATGCTGTATATTATGACAAAAACTAAAACATATATTACTAATAACAATAAAATGTATATTTGTAATGAAGATATGATGATAAAAAAAAAATAGGTTACTTAACGGTATAATAAATATTAAGTTTTCAATCACGAGTGTGCTCTTTAGAAATGGTTTGTGCCTGCGTCACTAACTCGAACACTACACCGCAAAAAGCTATTATGGCTTTTTGCTCATTAAACTTAGACTTCTTGGCGACAATTATTCAGTGTATTTTAAAAGTTAATTAAAAAGCCTTGCATCATTTTAAACCCTTTCCCTATTTAAAATCCTTATATACTAATATCCATAACTATTATTTCTAATATATATTTTCAATACAGTCTTCCTTAGTTATAATACTAATAACATTTTTATACGTATGTACGTACTAATTGTATGTACCTATATATACTAATAGTTATGAAAGATTTTGGTACACCTATAAGTTGGTACTATCGATAACTTCAATTATATATTTAAATTTGACGGAACAGCAGATCATAATTTTCTATGTATATTTTTAGTCGGATATACTTTTTCAGAAGACTACTAATATTTAAAACCTTACCATTGTATAATTTTCGTTTGAGATTTTTTCTGTCCATGATATTTTTATATTGAATATTTTTATAATAAACCGAGCCATACGCCGTGGTGCCTAGAACGTTAGCTGTATTTCCTCTCTTCATAACTATACTTATCTTTAAAAAAAACACTAGCGCTCTTATCTTCAGCCGCATCAATAAACCAAGAGCATAATTATATTTTTTTTTAAATTCACGGACCCAATAAAAAAAAATATGAGCGATACGTTGGTGAGAAATAACGCCAGCGTTTTATAATCTTCTCTTTGTTTAGAAATGTATCTCCACTTCTCACTACGATAAAACAAAAAACACTTGTTCAATATTTAGTAAAAGTAATAGGTCAACTATACCTTTATGTGTTTTAGGAATGAAATCAAAAGTTCTATCTTTGGATCGTAAGTTAATTCCAGATCCATCCACCCATACGTAAGTCGCTAAAATGGAATCGCAAGGAACTTCCAGATCCTCGTATTTGCGCATCGCGGCTTTATTTAAAGCAATTGGTACCGAATTCATTTCTATATTACTGAACTTGTACTCTGTTTAACACCAAAACAATGTATCGGATGTACGTTACACCTTAAGTCGGTGTCGAGTTAGATTAGAATAGTATGGGTACTACAAATTTGAATACTATATTATTAATTGTTTAATATAATATTTTACTGAGAAATTTTTGGGAGCCTAATTATTTTATCTGACAATGAAGCGCTCCTTTCTAACCTAATATTATAACTGTCACTGTTAAAAAAAAGTACTAGCTATAAAAATTCAAGGAGTATTTATTATATTGCATTGCAATTGCTTGGTAAAAATGTATAATCAATAATTTCACTTTTATTAATTACTATCATGACTGATGTTGCTTTTTTCCTAATTTTGTGATTTCATAGTTAGATGACCTCTGTGGTTATTTTGTTAAGTTAACATACGCTACATTAACAGTGTACGGAATTAATGTACTAAATTATATTCTATATAACGTTCTGTGTATTGATATTCTGTAAAATAGTCTATGGCGGATTATATCTCAAAATCGTGTTTTTGGGTATTTATTTAAAATCTAAAATGTATGTTTGCAAATTTATTTAATCAGATTGAAATGATTAAGGATTTATTCGTTCATTTTAACCGTATATGATGATTCACTATCAAAGACTGTTGTTAGCTATTGCTATTTGCTTTTGTCATTATGCATTATTGAGCTTACAGATCGATACATTTTATAATGATAGGAAACATAGCAATAAAGGCACATCTTCAAGAAATGTTAACAATAAAAATAATCTCTCTATGATAAAGAAAAATTTTTCTTATACTCCTTTTGGGACCGATAAAGAGGAACAAATTGGAAGAGTGAATCGAAAACAATATGAAGTAGTGAATATGTTGTGGAAAAGAACAAAATTTTTCTTAGATTTTGATGAGAAACCTACACCTAAGCTGCCTTTGAAAAATAATAATTCAATAAGCCATGGATCCTCGACAACAAAGTCGCAAGGATTTTCCTTACATAAATTACCTTTCAATCTTGCACCATCTACTCCCAGTTACATAGAATTTTATTATTTAGATGAATTAGATGGTCAGTTGAAAAAGAAAGATTATTCTTTAAATTCGGATAAGGAACTGACTATTTCGAAATTGGGTAATAAAGCTTTAGAAAAAGCGAAAAACACAATTTGGGGGCAGCATATTTTCAATTTTGAGAACCGCAATATTAAAGAGTCTGTTAAAGACATAACAGGCTTCTATAAAGATTCTAATAGGCACATAAATGACTTTTGGGAACCACAGTCGAAGTTCAATCAAACCGAAACGTATAATATTTCTGATCATTTAAATAGTTCTGAAACATTTTCGACTCATTATTTCACTACAAACGGTACTAACGAACCTCAATGGTTGAGCATACTTTTCAATGACCCTTTGAACAAACTTAAAGAACATACTTATACTAAAAATGATATGTCATTGGAGTCCACTACAATGTACGATAAAATAAAGTTCTTCGAAATGTATGACAGTAACACCATAGCGACAAAGAAAGTCGCTTTCAAGCATGGTATAATGGAACTACAAACTACATTAACGATAAAAATGAATATAATAATCAAATATATAAATTAAACACAAGTAATAAAACAGTCTCCATTCCAAGAACCCTCAGAGTATTAGTAAACAGAAAGAGAAATATTTTAAATGGCTCCTATAAAAACAATAAAACACCACTTTTAACAACAAAACTACTAGGTCAAGGTGTTTCAAACAAAGAAAAGACTACGGTTTGGTTAGAATACCCATACACCTCTGTTTACATTTACGAACCTTTGTCGGTAAGTAAACTTTTGGGTAATAGCCATCTTAAAAACCTAGCATTTGAAGTCAGAAAAATAAACTCGTTTCTTTCATGTCGTCTGTCTTAACGATCACAGCTGAAGTAGTTACAAAAATCGGAGTGCACAACGTTAACGATTCACGTGTTTCAGATTTACTGTGATGCGGCTGCAATTAGCACCTACTGGTTAATCGCCGCGGGCTCTTGTTTGTCGCGCCATCACAGAAACAATTTACTGAATGAGCGTTCAGCTTATATTGCGTATTGCGGGGACAATTGGTGGGAACCGGAGTCAATAGCTTATGTACGGCGTATTGTCATACACCCTTTATATCGAAATCGGGTCAAAAGGCGACGCTATCTTTATAATATAGGTAATGTATAATTATTATAATTTATAATTTTTTATAGTGCTAAATTATATTAATGAAATTTATCGTGTGAAATTTAAGCTTTTTTAAGTACTCTATAACAAATGGCCTAGTTGGTCTTATGCTGGCTTATGTCTTATACTTCTAACCAAGGCATCATTAATATATATTTTATTCTACGTATTAGCCATTTCAATTACCACACTCGTGATTCACACCATTTCCATGATAGTTCTCGTATGACAAAAACGTGATTCTTACACGGCGACGCATAATAATCGTGGGGTGACACCACTAGATGGAGGACAACCTATGCAAATGTGCGAGAATTCGATGAATGGACGTGGTTGAGGATCATGCTCCATGGCAGTCCGTGGGGTAGCTATAGAGCTAGCATTACAGCCTGTTAGAGTCCACGGCTGAAGATAGCGTCAGCCGTGTATTCTAACAGGCTGAAATGATGATGATAATGTTGGTGAAGCCTGCCTCTTGTGATCTTTCTTTATTATATTTTGTCCAACAGAACTCAATCGATAAAACAATAATTATTTTGCAGGTGTCGTTCAAGTAATTTCTTCCCTCAAAAATAGTTGCAGTGGCTGGGCTCCTGTATCTTTAGCGTCACATAAATTCTCTATCGGTGAGAAAGGTTCCCCAGCTACGGCGCTTGGATGGGGCCTGGACAGGTAAAAGATAGAAATCATGATTAACGGACATAATCATAATAATCTAAAGAATAATAATTATTAAAATTTACGTAATGATTTTTAGTATGTAATAATTTAATTGCATTGCTTTTTTTTACATTTTTAATAGTTTAATGATCCATTGTACGGAGATGGCCAGAATATAATTTTTGTACGTTATATATATATATATATACACTCACATATTTTATATATTACAGATATAGTAGATACTCCTACTATGATTTGCCAAAAAGTCCCCTCGCTGTCTATAAGGGCACAATATTCGCGAAGTCCTGTCCCACAGTTACCGAATTCAGGTAAGTTCAAGTTGTATGAATTGAATTTCTATTCAATATCAAACTTTCAATTCACAAATATCTTCTAATTGTTTTCTATATAGAATTTTATGGAATTTCACTTATATTTATAAAATAAGTTATATTCCATATTAAATTACCTTACAGTACACGTACTTTCATTTACCAGTAATTTTGTTTATTTATTAATTATCGTATACTGTTATCGTTTCAGAAAGGGTGCGTCTGAAAATGATTTAAAGGCCAGAAATATATATTGCTTATCACTACCGCTAAAAGGAGTTCAAGATACTTCACACGGAAGCCTGTTAATGGTCGAAGGAAAGTTGATCGCACTGTCTTTACAGGGTAACACTTTGTTACATAAAACTTTTTTTTAATACTTCGTTCTATTGGTACATACATATGTCATTTTTTTGTTTTTCGTATCCCTGAAACGGTCATGTTGTATACATTTTTAATATAACACTTGCAAAGTAACATTTGCCGCTAATGTGAAATGCATCACAGTTTTAGATACAGATCAGATACAGATCTTGCAAATGAACAGAATTTGAATAGTAGGGAGAGACTTCACTGTTGAAGGAAAATTCAGTTGGTGTTGCCTTCGACGGATGCTGCAACTTAACCTACATTTTATAAATTTTAACGTGTAATGTAATCCATCCATATCAGTTTCGTTTTTGGACTCATTTTCGGAGTGTAAAGTTATTTGGGCGAAGTCAATAATTAGCGTTAAGTAAAGTCGCGCGTCTATCGTCATCTTTGCCTATAGAAGGGACGCCAGCGGCTTTAGACATTAATAGGACAGACAGACAGCGGGACGACTTTGTTTTATACTATGCAGTGACATGCAGTCCACCACATGGATGATGATTGATTGAGTTCATACACCTTCAATATATTCTTTGTTATTGTTATTTCGAAGATATGAAGGTTTTTAGATGTTTTTCTCTACCCTCACGCGCATGGTAAATAAGCTCTTAAATGTAATTATCTAAAATAATGTATTAAAATAATTAAATTGTGAAAATTCTTCATCGTTGCCAGATTAAGTCTAGTTGCTCGAATATTAATTAAATGAAAATATTGAACTACTTTGAATAATATATTCGTTTCAGAATTTTGAAATATACACAACGAATTTCTAAAATTTATATGTGTTTTTTCTTGTTCTCCTAAGAACTTTTAAGAAAGAGATTTAATTTTTTTCTGAATTTCAAATTGCCCAAGTTATACCCATGAAATTAAATTGATCGCCAGGTCTAGTACATGATGCAGTTAAAATGAGCATAATGAATTAATAGCAAATAAAGGAGTACAATCGAAAAAAACTTACTTTGTTTTTTGAAACAACTATTTTTTTTTCCACGATTCTAAGCAATTTTTCAATATATCTTATAGATGTATGTAAATATTGGTAATATTTTGTTAAAAGGTAAGAGGGGTAGCGAGTGAAATGTCTGTGCAGTATACAGGTCTCTGGCGACTTGTGCCTTGGATACTCGATCTTACGCACAACAAAAGTACGAGGTCGTATTCTCGAAAAAGGAAAAAGACACCCAAATAATACGTTGTGATAAATATAATCGTTTTAAATATTTATTATTTCAATAATTATAAAAAAATTCTTTGTTTTCTTTGCGTAGCTGGTTTCGGACTCGGGTTTTATTTTATATTTCTTGTTTTTTTATTTTGATAAGTTTTATATTTTTATATACATATAATAATATAATAAATAAGTAATATAAAAAATTATTTCGATTAAACTTTTATTAGTCACCTTTGAGTCTTGAACGTA